TGTAGCAGTACCAACAAGTGGGTTGATGAGCTGTTATTGGTCGAGATACTGCTTGATCTTTCACTGATGCACAGGTCGAGGGGGGCACCCTTCCCTGCGATGTGATTGATTGCCCTCTTAAATGTCCTTCCGCTGAGAACAATGTAGCGTTGGTTTTTCGCTTTTCTGTTATGGATCGACAACGGTGCTCGGGGTTGTAGACGAGCCCCGGTGCTGGCGGCAACTTGATACAGTAGGGATCCTGTTGCTGGGAGGGGACTGTTTGAAAAGGAGTGGTGGATATGTCTATAACCAGTGTCNTTTTGGTATGGATGACCCGCGAGGCACCGCGGTCACACTGAATTGATCGATAATGTCGGAATTATTTTTTCAGCCCATACAGCAGTTTTAGGCTGAGATATTTGCTCTGAAGTCAGGGAGGGTTGACGTAGGAAGCTGCGCCCCTTTTTCTTTTGTGATGGATGGCTACCAGTGTCTCCCATTGTAGCAGTACCAACAAGTGGGTTGATGAGCTGTTATTGGTCGAGATACTGCTTGATCTTTCACTGATGCACAGGTCGAGGGGGGCACTCTTCCCTGCGATGTGATTGATTGCCCTCTTAAATGTCCTTCCGCTGAGAACAATCTAGCGTTGGTTTTTCGCTTTTCTGTTCTGGATCGACAACGGTGCTCGGGGTTGTAGACGAGCCCCGGTGCTGGCGGCAACTTGATACAGTAGGGATCCTGTTGCTGGTAGGGGACTGCTTGAAAAGGAGTGGTGAATATGTCTATAACCAGTGTCTCCCGTAGCGATGTAGCTGTTTGCGGTTGAGTGCTGCTTGGTCTACCTCTGATGTACAGGTTTTGAGGGGGGCACCTCTCCCTGCAATGTGGTAGACTGCCCTTGTCTAGAAGTCAGTTGGGAGCGATGTAGCCTCAGATTTTGTCGTTTTTTCCGCTGTGATAAGCGATGTAGCGTCAAATTTTTCGTTTTTCCGCTCTTTTTGGCCTTGGTGCCTGGGGCTGTAGACGCGCCCCGGGGCTTACAGCAACTTGATACAGAAGGGATCTCGTTGCTGGGAGGGGGCTACTTGATAAGGAGTAGCAAATGTCTGATATCATTTGTAAACGCGGAGGTTTGCAATTTGATGACTGCTGTGTTGATTTTGTGTTGACATGTCATTCAGCAGGACGACCTTGGAGGCGGAGGGTTTTGATCCGGTGGCCGGGTTCCCCTTCGTTTATTTTTTATTTTCTATGAGTACCCGGAATACTTTGATTTTGCGAGCATTCGTGACGATGTACAGAATCAGGGAGGGTGTCCGTGAGGTGGATTATGTCATCGTTACGAACGCTACTGCGGTAGTACTCATGTATGGTTTGAGAGCGAGACGTGTGCAAGTGACCGTTCCACGGGCGTGGATCTTCGGGGTATCTCCCGACATATCTTTGGTAGTTGGAATTGTTCCGTGTTGCAGAAAGTCTGCGCGTCTTTTCGTCGGTGAATATCTTGCGACTGTTGCTTGATGCTTTGTGGCGCACGTGGCGCCCACTCTCTCCTGTTGCTTGTCTACGAGGGCAACCTAATAAACGACTTTACCATCTCTTCATCCCTGTCAACCTGGTCAGCCGTGCTTATCCAGCAGCACTAGGCTTGGAACCAATCAACATGAGTCAGGGTCTCGTGAAGCCGCCCCCCAGCCGCTCGACTGCTCCCTGTGCCGGCGGGTGGTTGGTTGGACCGTAGTTCAGGGGTACTCGCAGCCAGCGACAAAGGTGCTTAATCGCTTCCGCCATGAACTCGCTTCCGGGGCCCCATCGGCTCGAGTGCGGCAGACCAAACATGAGGAGGAGCCCCAGCAGTTTGTGGCTGACACCAACTGCTTCCTTCGACGGCAGAGGGAAGGCGGTGAGGAAGTCGGACGCTCGGTCAACGACGAGGAAGTACCGGTTGCCGTTGTGGGAGGACACCCTCATGTCCTGGATGTCCATCTCGAGGACTTGCTATGACTGAAGGAGTCGGGCAGGCATCATGGCGAGCTGGCTGCTCCACGTTCGCTTCCGCCGGCGGCACTTTCAGGACAGGACATAACCGTGGACATCTTTCTTGAGGATGGGCCAGTGGTACCTCCTCTCGATCAACATCGTCGTGCGCGCGGTCTCCGGGTGTACGTAAGTGCCGTGAATCTGTGCTAACACCGCCGGCACGAGTCGCCTGGGCACCGCAATCGCGTACGCGCGGTCCAGCGGTGCGTGCCAGAGCAAACCGTTGTCGGCGAGCATACACCCGCTGTCCTCTCCTCGTCCCGCTTCCAACTCGCTTCGCAGTGGCTGCAGGGAAGGGTGCTGCCGCTGCGATTCCACACCTTTCACAGTGTCTCGCAGGGTGCCCTCCCTCCGCGCCAGCTGGGCGGAGAGTCCACGGCACAGCTCCTGCGTGTCCGGCGGGCATGGGCAAATTTCAGTGTACCAGCACAGGTGTTTTTGGAGTTTAGTAACGCGGGCGAAGCCCGCCAATACATGTGTCAACCCATCTGCGGCCCGCGCGCTTTGAAAATGTTGCACCTCTCTGAATCAATGAAGGAAAGGAGACACCAGAGCGGAGGTGTCGTCACCGCGGCAGCAAATAAATCACCTTGCAGAGATGCTCTGCCATGCGGGTTGTTCAACATACCAACGAGATGATTGATGATAATTGCTTTGGGGCGTTCATTCCAAAGAACCCCAGATGGAGTTAAACGAAGGACGAAGAAGAAAGCAGATGCAAAGGTGATGCCAGAGCATCATCATCATCGCGTTACTTGAGTGGTCTCGTGAGAAGACGGGCGTGCAGGCAATATCGACCCATGCACGGATCCCTTGGGTGTGGGTACTGCTGCTGTATAGCCCGACACATAAAATGCGCGTGAGCGTGTGTGTTGTGCGTGATCTCCCTCTTCGCTGTTACTAAGCTCGTCTTGATGCTGCTGCGTGACCGTTATCGACGTTCAGTGTGGGTTAACGTTGCAAAACTTCGCACACACAGAGATCAGGCAGGGTGGCCTATGCTGGTTTTATCCTGTGGGCGTGTGGTATGCGGCAGTTGCAGCTCCCAGGCTCCCGGCTGATGATGTGTTCATCTGTGAATTGGTACTGGTTGGTTCGACTGCGTGCGGTGCCCAGAAGAAGGCGGGGTACTCGAAAAATTTCTCGAAAACAGACAAGACAAGCCGTCAAGTCGGCGCCAAGTTAAATGGAGACAGCTGATTGGCGGACGCCCAGTTGAATCTGTCCCGGTGACTTTTTTGCTTTGTGGTGACAGCAAAAAAGCCACCGGGACAGATTTAACTTGACGTCCGCCAATCTGCTCTCTCTAATTAACTTGGCTACTTGGCGTCTTGTCTTTTTTCGAGTAATTTGGGCAATCAGGCCGTTTTATTCTGGGCACCGCATTCGAACAAACAAAACCAGTGTCACAGACCAAAACACATCAGCCAGGGAGCCTGGGAGTTGCAACTGGCGCATACCACACGCCCACAGCAGGATAGAGCCAACGGAGCCCACTCCGGTCTGTGTGTACGACGTTTCGCGACGTCGACGTACACTTACGATAACGATCACGCAGCAGCAGCATGAAGAAGACGAGCTTAGCAACAGCGAATAGGGAGATAATATACACAAGGTTGGAGTGATGTTGCAGACATTACGCGAGTGCCACATGCCAATCGCTGTTGAAGACTCCTCCCCATTTACCACAGGCTCTGGTAGGGGAAAAGGGCTCTGCAAGATAGATTTGGTGATCCCCCCAGGAATACACGTAGGAGATAAAGAAGAACTCTGCACCAAATCCATTCTTGTGGATATCACAATCGTTACCCCAACCGCTAGTCGAAGCATCGACAAGTCAATCCAAACGCCAGGATCCGCCCTCGAAGATTGAGCTGCAAGTAAGGAAAATCACTCTGCGGGAGGTTTCAACCCGTCTTGATCTACCCTCCTTGCTGTTGCTTTTTCAACGTATGGTGGTCTCAGCGAAGGCACAAATGGACTTCTCGTAGCTATCACCAACCACTTGGCATACGAAACCTTTTGCAAGGGAAATTTCGACGATGGAACAGCCTTGCTTCGTCTGAAGGCTTTTCATACCAATAGGATTTGGAGACGGTTTACCTTCGAGCTGGCTCGTTTTCTGTCCGTACGAACTCGTGATGTTTTCAAACGTCATTGACTACTGATTGCTCAATTTACATCATGGCCAATAGGTTGGGATCTCAGCAGTAGTGCAGATAAAAACGGTGATGATGGCAATGAGGGGGATTCGTTTGGCAGCGATGAAGGAGGAGGAGAGGGAACAGCAGGAGGACAAGACCGACCAACACAGCAATCGAGGAGGGAATCATGGCGTGGAAGAGGGCAAGATCTTCGAGCCAGATGACGTTCCCCACAACAAACAACGCAAAGCCAGAGAAGAACTGCAGAAAAAATGCTGTCCAAGTGATGATGTTTGAAAGGTTGACTCAAGAGCTTGGTATGTTAACGAGTGCGCCGGGCATGCTAGCCCATGCATAGCAGAAGGGGGACCGCCCCTCTACCAACACATACCGCCAATGATAGACGAAACCCCTAGATCTCAGTAGATGAGTATCGAGTGATGAGTACCCCAGAACAGCCCCCCTACTCGGAACACGATATGATCTAACAAACCCTTCAATTATCACCAGGGTAAAACAGTGATAACTTCAATGCCAAACGCAAAACAGTCGTTCATCATACCATCCATTCAAACCTCACAATACCGTAGTAGTTCTGTGGCCTCCCCTGAACCTTACGATGTCAAACTCAATGCCTTCGGCATACAGTCTCCTCAAGAAGGTCCATCAAGGATGAATCAAATCGTCAATCCAAACACAGAAACTAATGCAATAAATTCAAGATGAAGTCAAGCCCCGATGTGTGCGGAAACATCAAGGAAAACCTACGACTTACTGCGGATACCTAAACATGAACCGATATTCAACAGCCCCCCTGCCGGGACATCCTTTCTCCAACATGAAAGATCCAATCAAGACCTTCAAGGTACTAAACTTGTGGTACAACGAGAAGCTAAAATCCAAACATCAAACATCAACCAATGCAACGCCAATTCCCGCCCCCATGATTGTCGATGGCAGTGCAACCAGCAGTGATTCTGCATAACGTCCAAGAATTGTGCATACCTAATACTTCCAGCCCACAGATGCATAGCTGAAAGCCAAACATACAATGACACAAACAGGCTGCCAGAAAATAACAGAAAAGAGTATCAAAACACACGAAATAGAGTACGTACGCAACGCGGTCCTATCAATACCGTCAGCAAAAGATACTTCCTGGGAACCCCCCTCACGCCAAACACAACACACCAAAAAGAAACAAATGCACAACAACGATAGCCAGCCGCCCTGCGGCTGGAAATTGATCATATAGCGCTCACCCCGCTAGATAGAGAAAAATTTGAAGTGTCCAGCTCGCAGGTAAAACGCGACTAGAACCGTACATCAGTATGGAGTGCTGAGTAGTACCCCCAAACAGATGAGAATGATGGTAGTGACAACAAGGAGGAGGATGGTGAAAGCACTCCAAAACGAAGTCGAGTGCAAGGTAGCAGCCTTGGTAGATGCGTGCAGTTTTATTCTGTTGCTACCGTTTCTGTCTTTGATCCGGAGAATAGTTTAGCCTCCCTCATGCCGCCCCCTCACGAGGTCCCAGTGCACGGCATGTAGAAGTATTTTGTGTTTTCAACCGCACCGAGACTGACGTCTATTCATAGGTCAGCCGGTTAGCGCGGTCGATGCTAATAATAAAAACACGCACACGCGCACAATTATGTCGAGCAGCAGTAGTACCCACACCCAGGGACCCTTTGCTGTTTCTATACCGACTGCACGCCCGTTCTCTCGCGAGACCACCTCAAGTAACGTGATGATGATGATGATGCCTAGGTATCCCTGCATCTGTCGATGATGATTTGCTCTCTTCGTCGCCCTGTTGGACTCCTCCATCTGGGATTCTTTGGAATGAACGCCCCAAAGCAACTATCATCACTCATCTCGTTTGTATTTTGGAACAACCCGCGTGACAACATATCTGCACCGTGACTTCTTCTTTGCTGCCGAGGTGATGATACCTCTGCTCTGGTTTCCCCTTTCCTTCATATTTTCAGAGAGCTGCCAATATTTCGGAAGCGTGCGGCCCGCAGATAAATCGGTTTCACACATGTAGTGAATGGCGGGCTTCGCCGGCGTAGTTAAAATCCAGAACCTCTGTCCCCGTGCATCAAAATTTGCCATTTTATTTCTGTAGTCAGCCGCACCGGGAGAACGTCTGCCTGTCTGTTCATTGGTCGGCGGGTTCAGCCGGGTCGATGCTAGTAATGGCTACTACAGTGGTACTTTACTTGAACCAGACAGAACTACTTCTCTATCACCCCTCTCGCTCGCGCGGTATTTGCCTCCGAACACGAGAGACACGCGATGCTTGCGTACGTGCAAGCACGCCGTGTTGTGCCAAAGGCAGCAGGTCTGTTGCTGTCGATCCGGAAGCGAGGTTCGGCAGGCGGCAGGAGGATTGATGATGTTTCTACAGTACATGGCCGGCTATGCCTACTTTGGCCCATTGGGGCAGACCAAAAAGAAAGGCGGTTATTGACGCAGACCATATACAAACCAACACCAATCGGCCGAATGGGGGCATGGTGCCATGTTTGGCTGGCACATCTGATGTGTTTCAGCTTCACAGCAGTGCCTGCTGCCACGCACCATCTGTTTTGTGCTTTCCGGCGAGAGTTTGGCGACGACAAAGTCGTTCTAACAGTGTCTGTCTCTCCTACGAGTCGTTTTTTTTTATTGGCGAGAGTTTGACTGGCAACCAATGGTTGTTGTTTCATGTCTAACAGGCCCCCCCCCCCCCCAAAAGACCTGTCTCGCCCCCAACACCGTGGGGGCCCCAACCCCAAACCCCAAACGGCATCGGGG